AGCAGTGGGATGATGGCTCAGAAGCCCCTACCTCTGGGCCGGGAACAGTGGAACTCAGTACCTTGGTCTGGTGGTCTGGTGTCCTCTGCGCCTTGGTAATGTGGAATCAGGTGGCTGCCTGTCTGCAGTGGGGTGATTAGGCGTCTTCTGTGTGACTCAGGGCCTCAGTAGGGCGTGCACAGACCTGCCTGTCTGCAGCGGGCTGATTCTGCCTTTCATTTCTTTACTTTCTGAAAAACCCGCTCCAGGTCCCCTCTATATCCTTTTAAATTCTGTAAAATTTGTGGCAGTGTCTTCTAGATCTTGATATTGTAATTTTAAAAATGTATAATTGATATTGTGTAATAGGAAGAAAAGGTCTAAAGAACTAGGGGAAGTGGGAGGTGTAGAGGAAAGGAAAGAAGGAAAAAGAAAAAATAAGAGAAAATGAATAAAAGGAAACAAAGTCTTTGCAAATAGGGAAGGGTGGAGGGCATGAAGGGAGGGCAGGGGAAGAGGAAAAAACAAGAACCAAGATACATCATGTAAAGTTACAAGATCCTAATGATGAATGTAACTATTTTATACCTAAAATGTATCAGTAAACTTAATGGAAAAAGAAATTCAAGATCCTCTTCACCAGTTCACTATTTATACTGATCTCTCCAAATCAAGAACTTCACATATGGTCTTTAGCATTTCTAAACTTTTTCAACATTTCTTCCATCTTTTTATATTGGATACTCCCTTTTTCAAATGGAAAGCCACTGAACTGACCCACATTCTTCTTTAACGAGGACACTGCCTGGTCTGTTGTAAAGCAGTTTGTGTAAATTTCTTAGTTCATCTGTTTTTTTCTTACTCAGAAAGAAATGTATCCTTTCAATTTCACAAAGTTTCTGTCCCTTTCCCTGTGCAATCGTAAGGGGTTTTCTTTGTAAGGAAGACACTTGTATTGTCAACCTCTCTACTTTCTTCTTTTCCCTCTTGCCTTCCACGATGAGACTCTTTTCTTTTTCTTCCTCCTCCTCCTCCTCGTCATCGTCGTCCTCCTCCTTTTTACTCTCCTCACGGGGGTCGGGCATTTTGGGCTCCTTCTCTGATGCAGACTGGGTGGGGGTTCCCTCTTCCTCCACAGCAGGGGCCGAGGAGGACATGCTGGGGACCATGGGTACCGGCTGCCACAGGCTTGGTGCTCAAGAGCTTGAGGGGGATCCGGGAGGCAGCGGAGGCTGATGCCAGAAAGCCTCTCCATCAATTTTGAAAGATAGTTTTGCAGGGTACATCAATCTGGGTTGGAGGCTGTTTTCCTTTAGGGCTTGGAATACATCACTATGAGCTCTTCTTTCCTTGAGGGTTTGTGTTGGGAAGTCTGCTGTGATTCTGATGGGCTTTCCTTTCTATGTGATTTGTTTCTTTTCTCTCACTGCTTGTAGAACTTTGTTCTTCTGCTGGCTTTCTGGAATCTTAACAATTATATGCCTATGTGTAGTTTTTTTGATCAAGGCTACTTGGAGTCCTATATGCCTCAGTTATCTGTATGTCAAGTTCTTTTCCCCTGCTTGGGAAGTTTTCTGCCATCACTTCTGTGAACCGTTTTTTTAATGTCCTCTTTATTCTCTCCTGTTTCTTCATTGACTCCAATCAGTCCTACGTTATTCTTCTTTGCATCATCTAGCAGCTGCTGGATTGATTTCTCATGGTCCCTTATGTGGGACTATATGAGATTGAACAAAGGTTACTCCATGTTGCCTCACTCAATACTCCCCGCCCCCTTCTGATTAAACCATGTGATGTCATTTCTGGGAAGAAAAACAAAGGTTCACGAAATGCACAATGTTCTTTGAAATTACCCAACTCCCCATAAACAGAAATGTACTGGAACATGCTATCTAAATCCCCTAACGGTCGCTTTTGTAATCTCTGCTTGCTAACTTCCCCTTGCAACCCCTATAAAAGAGCCTCAGACTCTGAGCCAGTTGCCTGTCTAAGCTACTTTGCTTTGGGAGTGCCGTCTGGCCAGACTAATAAAGGTCTGATTTTTACTTTCCAACTTGTCCGGTGTGTTCCCTCCCGGGTGTTCTTCACTACAGTCAGCTCCTCAGAGCATTTGGTAAGGCCCACAGTCTTACATTTACAATTTTAAAGCAATTTTTCTTTTCCTGGTCACTAATCGCAATCTTATATTCTATATCTGAAATTCTGTCTTCACATTGGCTCATTCTGCTGTGTAGATTTTCAATGGAGTTTTTAATCTCCTTGGCAATGTGTTTGTGTCTGTTTTATGGATTCCATTTGTTTCCTATGTTGGGATTCCATCATCTTCCTCAGCTCCTCTCTAGATTTATTAATCATATCTTGCATTATGAGCACAATCTCTGCTGTTATCTGAGAAATTATTTCTGATTTCATTTTTTCCACATCCTGTTTTGTTGTCAGTTCAGGGAGTACAGTTGGTTGAGTATCAGTGTTCCATCTCATTTTCCTTTGGGGTTGCTGTAGGTGATCTGGAAGTCTGGTTTTGAGACTTGTTTATGTGTCTTTTCATTTCGAAGTGGGGGGGATGTGTGCTGCTGGTGCCCGTGCAGCTTACCTCCATACTTTAAAGCTCTTAACTGGGACCTCTTGTAGCAAAAGACAGAGCATACAAGAGGATAGCAAAAGAGTACAAACAGAAGCTTATTAGCATGGAAGTAGTTCACTTTGATTTAGTGGGAATATGTTCCAAGACCCCAGCAGATGCCTGAAACCATGGGTAGTACTAAACCCTGTAAATACTGTTTTTCCTAAATATACATTCTTATGACAAAGTTTAATATATGAATTAGCTTCAGTAAGAGATGAATAGGAATAACATCATAGATCTTAGCAACCTTACCATATGATTACTATTTTTTCTTTCCTTATTAAATCAAGAAGTTTCACCTTTTCACTTAAGGAAGCACTTTATATCCTTTCTTTCACATATATGCATCATCAGCTTCATTATTCTTGTACTTTAGAACCATTAAGTAAAACAAGCACTGTGATGTCACAATACCAGTTTAACTGGTGATGGAGACTAAGTAAGGAGTGGGTACCATATACAACATGGATTTGCTGAACATTTGATGAATGATTCACATTTCAAGCAGGAGCTGGATGGTACAAGATTTCATACTGCTACTCAGAGTAGCTTACAATTTAAAAGTTATGAATTTTTTTTCTCAAATGTTCTATTTTATATTTTCATACCACAGTTGACCACAGGTAAGAAACTACAGAAAGCAAAACTGCAGATAAGGGGGAACTATTTTATGTCTCATGTATACATGGAAGAAAATCTAGTGAAATGAGTAAATCTCAAAAAAATTTAAACTTCTGGCTTAAATTTCATTGTCCCTTGGAAGGAAAGGTGTGTGGAAGGTCCTGGTTGAGATTAGATGGCTAAAGAAAGCACCTAAAATAAAGATAAATTTTATTATGTAGGTTTAAGTAGATGCTACCTTCAGTGCTGAAGAGTCCAGTTAGTCATCCTTCTGTTCCTGGTACAGAGGGACAGGTCCTTATAAGGGATATGAATTTATAAATATGAATTTCTCTCACCAAGGGGCAATTTTTCAGACACTCCTGTATCTAAGGTTTCTTGGGATAAACAGTACAAAATAATCAACTTGTCAAAAAGGAATATTTTGGACTGGCTTATTCTGGCTTTCTACAATTGCATTTTGGAATGGTATGTGCCATTAGACTCTTACTCTTTCATAGGAACTGGAAGGCACAGGAGCAACCTCCACTGATGTTTCAAAAAGCTCCTGGGACCTGAAGGAAATATTTGAGTTTTGAAACTGAAAGAAGGCAGTTAAAAACTGTAAAATTATAGGAGGTCATGGTGGGACTTCTTCAACAGGCCAGATTAAAACCAAAATGGAGTCAAACATGACTCACTGAAATTCAGTTGTTAAAAAATCAGAAATCAGTTTCTAAAAAATCAGGAAAGAGCTAGCCAAAATTCCAAGAGAAGCCACTTTTAATTGGCATGACGATGAAGTTCTTTTTGTAAACCATCACAAAAATGTAAACAAACTTTTTCGGATGTTAATAAGTTATTTTTCTATTGTTCCATTTCCATGTCCCCATCTTACAAAGACAGTAATTTTGAAATGACCTATCTGCTTTTTTGCTCTTTGTTTCTGCTTTGTTCAGTCTTTTTCTTCTTATAACAACTTTTGCTCACCCCATTAGAACACTTTCTTCTCTTTTGTGGAATAAAGTGTTGCCTGAATCAAAACTACTGAAGCCAACTATTCTCAGACAAAATTGTGTTTTGACAAGACTTATTTAACCAATATAAAAATTTATATATACTTGCAATGGATAGAAAAATTTCTGAAAAATAAAAGGGAGATGGGGGGAGAAGTCTCTTCCTTTATATCAACAGAAATATTAAGCCTAATTTATTTGTTTGGTTTAGGGCGGAATATTGATCCCCAGGCCTCCTGCATGTCAGGCAAATGCTTCACAACTGAGCTATACACCCAGTTGTAATACTTTTATTTCTTATTTGCATTTGTCATTATACATCTTGCTCCAACTGAGGAAACTGAAGAACCAATCTATATCCATGGCTCCTGGAGGATTCTGTGGATGTGGCATTGCAACTGTGAAGATGACCTTGAGACTGGAACTCAACTGCACCATGAGTATGCAGATTGTGGACAATTATTTCTTCAGTGTTCCTTCATCAGAAATTTAAGCATATCTTGAGGATAGGTATACTTCACTAGAGGGAAATACAAGTTTTGAAAGCATGTTTTTTGCTTTTTGTTTTTTTCAGTGCCAGGAAATATTTTTTCCCTCATACATGCCAGGCAGCAGATACTCTATAGCAAACCTATATCCCCAGCCCTCAAAATGCAAGTTTTTAAAAGGGGTTAAATTGGAGAGAAATTTTAACCATAGCAACCATTAATTTGGCACTTAATATGTGCCAGATCCTGCTAAATGTTTCATTATCCATTAGTTCATTTGATTCTGAGAACAATTTCCTGAGATAGATGCTATTATTAGTTTCATTTTATAGTTGTGGGAAACTAAATTTAGAAAAGTTAAGCAATTTTTCCAAATTTTCATCTTGGAAGTGATGGAGTGAGATTTGAAACTCAATTCTTTCTAACTCTAGAACCAAAGAAAAGAAAAGAAAGTAAAAGGGCTAATTAAGATCACTCAATAGTCTCTGCCAACTAAGCTCTAGCATTCTTCCCTTGCTGTAAATAACAACTGATATACAGATTTAATGCAATCCCAATCAAAATTCCTCACAGAACTAGAGAAAACAAGCCTAAAATTCATATGGAGCCAGAATAACAAAAGCAATCCTGATCAATAAGAGCCAAACAGAAGACATCATAATCCTCACTTCAAATGATACTACAAAGCTAGACCGATTTAAAAAGTTGGCATGATATTGGGCCAAGAACAGACATGTGGATCAGTAGAATGGAAGAGAACATGCAGAAATATCTTCAGACACAAGCTACTTGACCTTTGACAAAGGTGCCAAAAACATACACTGGAGGAAAGAGAGCCTCTTTAGCAAACAGTTGTGAGAAAACTGGCTATAGTGGACTCTTGACTTACAAACTCAATTTATTCCTAAGGGCTGGTTGAACTCAAGTCAGTCAATGAAGGCTCAGGCTCCTCTACACAGCCTTCAAAATCTCTCCCCTATATACAGGCAGATCTTAGTGTCTTTAGAGAGATATTGGCCCAGGCCTTCCTCAATTAACCCCACACAGGAAAGTATGTTATAATGTTCCATCCAGAACTCTCTAAGGGTTAAATCTGTACGTGATGAAATACTACTCAGCTATAAAGAAGGACAATTTCAAGGCATTTGTAGGAAAATAGGAACACCTGGAAAACATAATATTAAGTGAAATTAATCCGACACACAAGGTTAAATATCATGAAATTTCTCTCGAGTAATGCAAAGTACAGTTAATAACAAAACAGAAGATTAATAAAAGGAAACAAAGAGATTGATCTTTTGCAAATGAGAAGGGGTCCAAGAGACTGAGGGTGAAGGGAATGGGGAAGGGAACGTAAAAAGATTTAACATGTCATGTACACGTACCAAATACCCATAGTGAATGTAAACATTATACGTCAGAAACATGAACTAAATGATACTAAAAATAATAACAGAGAAAGGGAGTCTAGAAACAGGAAAGCAGGTGAGTGGAGAGGGAAAGGGGAATAAAAAATAATAAAGATATGTCATGTACACATACCCACTCCCTAAGATGAATGTAAACTTTGTGTACTGCAAACACGTACTAATGAATTAAATTTTAAAAAGAGAGAGAATTGGATTTGCCCTAAATGGAGAAAGAGGTAATGTAGTATATTTTCTAGAAAAAAAAGGGGGGGACTTTTTTAACAGCAGAAATAGTAAATCATTCCTCTTGGTCTTTCTTCCATGTTCATGAAAAGTATTAGAAATAGAGCAAGAAGCATTTCTCCATAATGAAATACATCAAGTATTTATTAATTACTCAGAATAACAGTATCAATAGAATAATTATCTTGAAAACAGGTCTTATCTGATGCCTAAGAGGTATGGCACTGTTTGTAATTTCAATGCCCTTTTTGCCTTATGCAGTTAGTATTAACATTTTTGGAGTATTGGGATTGAACCCAGGGCCTTCATACTGTGCTATATCGCCACCTCTTTTTTACTTTTTTATTTTGAGACAGTGTCTGGTTAAGTCACTAAGTTGCCCGGGCTGGACTTGAATTTGTGATCTTCCTGCCTCAGCCTTCCAGAGTGCTGATATTATAGGTGTATACCACCCACATACCTTATATTTCTTCTTAAAACTCCTTCAAAAGAGAGAAAGTTTTATCAGGGCCATTCCCAACATTTCAGTCCTCCTAATATTGTAGATAGGTAAGTTAATTAGATATCTTGTAGGCAGTTAGACAGGGCCAATGCATGAGGAGCCAATATGTAAGACAATTGAGCCAACATGGAGGACAATCAAGACATTCTCTGAAAGCCAGCATTGTAAAGGAAGAGAAACTAGCCCAGCCGCATAGCATGAAAAGCAGTGATTGATATTCAAAACAGGTATCAATCACCGGGGTGAGGGACCAAGATCTTCCAAGTAAGATCCCTGACCCACCCCTTACCACCAAAAATCTTTGCTCATTCCTTATATGCTTACTACGTGACTTGTTTCCCCATTGGATCCCCATTTAATCAATATTACCTAAGTGACTATACTTATCATAATCTTACTGGTTGTTCATAGTTTTGTCCACCTTATGATTTCCCATTGGACCAGTATTACCTAAGAGACTGTACTTGTAATCTCACTAGTTGACTATAATTTTGTCCCACCTTGAACCTGCCTCATCTTGTGGCTTTGTCCCAAAAAACATCTTTGAGAAGTTGGGCAAGCGGGCAACCCATTTTCTGGTCCCCCTTCTGTCTTTCTTATACAGAAGCTATCTTTCTCTCAATAAATTTTTCCTACTCTTAACTTCCATTGTCATTCTTCTTTTTTAGAGAACACGAACTTGCAATTTGGATATCTAGTAGATTTGGGAGTTACATCTCTTCCCCGTATATCACTACTGTATTTCCTCCACTCATCCCCCAGCTTATCTTGCCCAATGTGGACTCTGCCTTTTGAAGCCCTGCTTGCTTCAGTGGTTGTTGAAACCACTAAATACATGCCTGACTCTTTGGTAAGAGGAAGAAATTTGCCCGTATTTCTTTGAGAGCACTGAGACACAAATACCAAAGCATGATGGTCAGTTTAGCATTTCTGGTTTTCAATTTCTTTCCATCCTTGCTGAGAATATAAGAACAACCCAAAGCACTTGCTGGACAGCATTCCAGTTTTTCAATCACCTTTAAACCCTCACATTCCCCTGTCAGGGCACTCTGCATTTGATCCCAATCTCGGGTGCATCTGTCACTTATGGCTGACTAGCTGGGAAAGGACAGACCTGTTTGGGTCCTAGGCTGCATGTTTATGTCAGAAGATCTGAGCAGTTCCTGGAAGGGAGGCACCTCCTGGCTAAAGCTGTGCTTCCCTCTGTGCATGGACATAGCCCTGGGGCATGGGCCTGGGTTTCCAAGTCTCCCCCAGGAGCGATTTGAGCAGGGACTTGTCCATTCTTTCTTTTCATCCAGCCACACAGAGGTGAGCCACAGGAAAGTAACTACATGCAGGTGTGCTGTCTTATTTTAACATTGAATGCTCAGCAAGGATCTTGCAGCCAGGGAGGGGGCGCTTTTAAGCAGTGAGTGCTGGCCTTGCCTTAGAGAGGCTTCTGCGTAGTGTTCTAAGGACATTCAGATCATGGTTCAGTGTTTGTTTTGTTTTTGGTACAGGGGATCCAACTCCAAACCTTGCGCTTAGAGGCAGGCATTGGAACCACTGAGCTAAATCCCCGGCCCTGTGGTTCAGTGTTAGAAAAATCCCATGGTCAACTCTCACGAAGTATTAACGTGCTTGACAACATGTTAAACGCTTCTCCTACATTATCTTACTTGATCTTCCAAAACTTTTATGAGACAGGACTGTTATACTGAGGAGTGAGAGGCTACCTTCCCCAAGGCTACAGATGTCTATATCGCATTAGCATCCACCTTCTACCATTGTGCATCAGATGCTAAATTGGCAGCACATGGGTGGAAGTGTGCTTCACTTGGCAGTGTTTTAAAAAATATTTTAAAATGTGACCCAATATTGTAAATGCAAGTGATTTTACATATAAAGACATACAAAATCCTAACATCTCTTAGAAATGGATATATCTAGCAGCACTGAGCTCTCAAAGTCTCCCATCTCCTTGAGATATTAGCTTCCCTTTTGGTTCTGGTGCTATTTCCATACTTCTATGACCCCTTATGTTCCTGAATTGCCAACCCTTGCTATTGACTAGTTACGCTCTAGTCAGAGAGCACTATAGGACAATGAACAAATAAACTTCTGGGCCCTTATCTTATTACTCATTAAAAGCATGATAGCATGATTTATGTTTTCTTCTGAGGATATCAAGGAGTTAAAACCATTTTTTGCTAAAACCCACATCTCTTCACTTGGATCTACAGATGCCCAATAGGCAACTGGAGGTAGAACATAGCTTGTGTTAGACAAAATGGCTGCAGGGAGGTCTGTTACTCAAAATGGCACCTGCTTCTCATCAACAGTTGCTTCCTCTCAGGGAAAGTGAAACTGAACTCTCCACCCTGCCCCCGCTACTCATCCACTAATAAGTTTAAACTCTGACACCTGCCCCAGCAATACAACTAATCCTCAACCCCCACGATGGTCTCCTGCCACACAACCCTTTATAAACCTCACCCAGTTAGTCTCTCACTCTCTCTCTCTTGCCATTGTTCGAGGCAGCTCAGCATCTTTCCCCCAATAAAGCCCTGACTCAGCTGCTCCTATTTCAACTTGATTTCTTTCAGCTTGACCTTCATTTTTGTATCCTTTATTTAAAATTTTGGATATAGGTATGTTACCGTGAGTGATAAGATCTAGGACTGGTTCCTAGGTTCTTGTATGTAACAAATAAAGAATTGGATATGACACACAAGACAAGGAAACAGCACAGAGTTCCTTAAGGTGATAGTATACATGGAGTGAGCAGGATCACACCCATAAGAAAAAAATGTCATGATCCCCAAGGGCATAAAGTGTAGGGGTTTAAAATGTTGTCAAGGTACTAGAGCGTAGCTATTCCACTTGTCCTGTCCCACAATTCACTCCATTACAATTGTATATAT